ATTAAAAAAAAAAAATTTTCTATCAATATAAAAAATTCTTTAAACAACCCGCGACCCGTGACCCTCGAACCCCGACCTGTATGGGCTCGACCCGGATGGGTTAGCAAGTGGGCCTGGGTTGTAGTCCAAAATTTGTGGGCCGACCAGGAACCGGCCCAAAACCCGTAGTGAGCGGGCTTTTTTTCACGCGGGCCGTTATCGGACTCATATGTTGGCAGGCCGACCCGGCCCACCTGGATTGACACCTCTACATTCTAGGAATTTAGCAAAAGGTCAGGACGTTGTTCTCCTTATTCGTCATATCTGCCATAGTATTTACCATCACTGTAAGATCTAACTTGTTTTATTCTTTTGTCGAGTTGATTTTCAACTTCAGTCTTATAAACCCTGAATACGTTCAATGATTGGGATAAAAGATAGTACCACAAAAGTCTTTTTCAAATTTAGATAAAAACCAGTATTTAATAATAATCTAAAATTCCTTATAGCCTTGACTCCAATTGATTTGTCGTAGCCTGGATAGATGAATCTTTCAACATCATTTGACTTTCGGTTGTTTAAGCAATCCTGCATAAACACACTGATATGAGTAGTGGCATTGGAATCAATTCACCAAATATGTTTAGATACTGAAACTAAATTAACCTCAAAACAAACCAATGTGAGAAACGTACTTTTCTTTACACGCCAAGTAAACACTTTCAGTCATGTCTTGCTTCAGCCTTTCTTTTTCTTGCACAAAGTATGAAATTGGCTCATTTAGAGTCAACTTCTAATTTTGACAGTTGTAACTAACCTTGAATTGGTTGTACTATGTAGGAAGAGAAATCAAAACCAAATGCACGAGCAAATCATCAGATAGTTCAAGATTTAGTACCTTCAATTTTGAAACAATATGCCAAAGATTTCATTTACCTTTATACCTTAGTAAAACTAAGTTCGCTACAAGTGTACTAGTTTTGGTCTTATCACTTTTTGAAAAGTGTTTTTCAATTTCGTCAAGAAATTCCTTAACAGTAATTACTTTATCGAACACATTGCCCCTAAATGATTCTGGAATACCACGCTTCATAATCATAAGACTCATGCAGTTTGAACAATTTCATTTATCAAAGTCTCATTTTTCATGAACGGAACTTTTATCCGTAAATACAGCGGGTTGTTCAATCCTTAACGCAATGCCTAAGTCCATGCAGTCAAGAATGATCTGAACGTTCTCTTTGCAGTCCTTAAAGTTGGTTCCATTTAGCACTGTAATAGAGTTATTGCTTGCGGATATTGTAGAAGTAGAAGAGTCAACTGAATAGAGAACAAAGTCAAAGAAATGTGTTCACATTAGAATCCGTATTAAACAATTAATT